CACCTGGATAAAACTATATAAGCCCAGCTTCACTGACTACAAGTTTGAAAAGGCAACGGGGCTCCGCCTGCAATCTAAGGCTCGGATCGGCTCCAACTTCTGTTTTTGTGTTTGTTTGAGAGAGTGAGTGAGAGAGGGAAGGGGGTAGGAGAGATAGTCCAATCCAACTTCTCTGTGTGCGTGTGTCTGTTTGAGAGAGGGCGGAGGGAGGGAGGAAGGAGGAGGAGGGAGAAGAAAAGAATAAAGGAAACTTTTTCGCAAAGGAGAAAAACAAATGCTGTCGCTTTAAATCTGAACTGAGCATGCCCGGCTGTGGAATTCTGGGAGTTGAAGTCCAGAAGTCTAAAAAAATTTGAAACCCGCCACTGTGTCAGTGCCTCACCAGCCGTAAACCTCACCGCACATCACTGCTCTAAAGCCTTGTCTTTGCCTGCTGATTTGAAAAATTATTCTGTAAAGGCATGGATTCTGTATTTACGTTGGGAAATGGGTTATGAGCCTGTAAAAAGCATATGTTGTTATATTTTAAGGGGCCTGCTTTCTGTAAAAACTAAGATAGCAGTTAGTAGCCAATGGCAGTAGCACTAGATCAAGATGGGTTTTTGAAATGTTTTTGTAATCACACAGTGCTTTCTTTCAGATGGATTATAATGATAATATTTGAAACAATGTTTTGAAATAATATTGTGAAATAATATTTTTATGGCCTATTTCCTTTCCTATTCCATTTGCCCTTAGAAATAATGTGTTCTAGAGGTCTAGTTTAAAAGACAACTGCTTCCCTGGCTGTCCTTCATTATTCAGATGACATTCAGAATATTAATGATAATGTACTTCATTGCTTCTTGTTCAAGAAGCAAAATGTTGTCTCAAAATATCTAGAAGAGAAAAATTTACACATCAGCAGTATTGTAATATTTTTATACCATCAACTAAAACTTACAAATAAATGGACTTTAGAGTTTGCCTTTTCTGCTTGATTTTTTTGTAATAAAAAACTACTTTTTTTGTCTCTTGGGGAAAATATATTTCTTTTAAAGACTGACTTCAAGCATGACAGTTGTGAGATCTTATCTTTTCAGTTTTGATTCTGATAAAGTAGTAATTTCCACATCTTAGGATGGGAATTTAGAGTTAAATTTAGAGTTAAATTGGATTTAGGCCATATAAAATAAACAAATAAATGACTAATTTAATGGCATACTCTAATAAATCAATCTGAATCCAAAACTTATTTTTTCAATTAAACCAGAACCAAGTCTCTCTGAAGAGCTTTCTAAAGAGCTACAATAATCAAGACAGCTCTATATAAACTGAAAACCCAAATCAGTGTAAAATGACAAGGAATCATTCAATTGAGCTGACGGGTCTTTCTCAAGAATGCTGTAATAATTAGAGCTGTGTTAGTGCCTTAGATACGAAGGCAGAGTGGCCTTCCAGAGAAGACCGGGGCAAGAGACTTGGCCGTACCTGCAACTGTTGAGAAGAAAGACAGGTTTCCCAGCCCCATTGATCCTGGGAGAAAAGTAGCTTTTTTCAGGCACTTTGGTAGCTGTTTAAAGTAAAATCCCTCCATGCTCCCAGCACTCTCAGAGTTCTGTTTAATAAGGTTTGTTGAGATAGATTGAATGGAATTAAGACTATTACTAGAACCAAATCATTTTCATAATTTAGAATCAATTCAACCCCACGTTGCTTGGTGTGGAGACTAACAATTTCCTAATGAAAAAACCAAAGAGGTTGGACTCTTCACTGCTAACAGGAAGTCTGCAACTGGTTGTTAGCATAGTAGCAGCATATTGTAATGGTCTGTGTGGGAATGACACTGGGGCACAGGGTGCTGAAACACGGCCAGATCAACTGCCGAATCAAAGGCAGCTAAGCCTTTTAGCAGCAGGAATGTGGGTAGGGCTAGAGGCTCAGAAGAGACCCTCCCTGTTTTTGGGGGTAAAGGGGAAAATAAAGGGGGAGAAAAATAGTTTCAGACTTGGCAAGATTCTGTTAATGTAAACTTACCATAAAAGTGCCTCTAATGCAATCTTTAATTGTATTGTTGTTTGCAGCCCACGTCATTGCCAAAGCAAAAGGCCTTGCAATCTTGTCTGTTATCAAAGCAGGATTCTTGGTAACAGCTCGAGGAGGCAGTGGGGTAGTTCTAGCTCGCCTGCCTAATGGAGGTAATTTTTTTTTCCTTTTCTAATTGAGTGCCCCAGACAAACCTTAACTACCTGCCCTTTCTTGTCCTTCCTCTTAAGAACATTAATAGGATGGTTACATCTTTGCATCCCCATGTGTCCGTTTACTTTCACAGTGTGCCACGTTAGTACCTTTATGTCCCTTGTTGGACACAACTGGTTGCTTTTGATACTTTCACACTTTCCTGTGTCGTTATCAGAAATACCCCTGGCACAACAGTCTCTTTCTGCTGTAGATGTGGAGTTAGAATAACTTTATTGTCACTTTGAATGTACACTAGTTGGCATACATCAAAATGAAATTTCATTGCATGCAGCTCTCAAAGAGTCACCACCTCCAATATACTCTACATAAACATGACTAAATAAATAGATACAAAATTATTATGTATATGCTCCCATATGTGACATAGTTAGAAACAACACAGTCTAGTTCGGATGGTTACATGTACATGGCGAGTGAAAGAAATCTTGCGGGTTCACCAGACAGATGGGGCAGAGGGGAGAAAGCTTTGGACTTTGGGGAGGTGACTTTGCTTTCTACTGTTTTTCGTACGTAGATAAAAGGTTTCTTTCTTCTCCTGTTCTCAAGAG